TTTTAAAAAATTTTTAAAATTTTTTTCCATTTAAAAAAAAAAAAAAAAAAAAAATAATAATAATAAATAAATGTTAGGTGAGAATTGCAATTCCTTGAATTCATGGAAATTGGCTTATGTGGCACCAAAGATGTAATTTTATTTCTAGGGAAAAAAAGGGTATCAAACAAGGTTAAATTGGAAGGTGGAATTCCAATTCCATTTTTCATGAAATTTCACCTCCAATCAAATACACTCTTAGAGAAAATGAGGATTTAATAAAAGTCAACCCTCAAGAAGTGGTCATGTTTATATACCTTTTGATTTAATTCTCAACCCGTTCCCTAGTTTTCGATATTGCTCAAGTGTAAGATTTTCCACGAGGACTTTCAACTCTTCAGCCCAATCTCCATTCACAAGGTTCTCAAAGTAGACGAGGAAGGTTTGGAGATCTGTCTGCCACATCTATACTGTAACGCCCTGAGCTCTTTTTCATTATTATTATTATTAAAATAAAAAATTTAAACGAAAATATCACTTTCATTAAGTGTTGAAAATGCATGAAAATAACTATTAAACAATGTGCACAAAATTCAATAAGAAGAAGTTCTTCAAATAAAAGTTTGACAATTATCTTTTCTAGAAAATTTACTTGGCGGCCCCATAAACATCACTCGGTCAATCTTTCACGCGCCCAAACGACCCGTTCTCATCTAAAAAGTATTGTAAGAGTAAGTATTTTGAAAACACTCAATAAAAATACGTGCACATTCTTATTCACATGACATAAATATAAAACTGACACAACATACCAACATTTTTTAGATTTAGAGTTAAAGAAATTTCTTAAGAATTCCCATATCCCGTAGGATCTAACATATTTGACCAAACTGTCCATTGTTTGGGATTTAATATCTTTGAGCAAACGGTCCATCCTTGTAGGATTTAACTTCTTCGACCAAACAGTCCATCCGGTAGGATTTAATATAGCAGTCGACCCAAAGGTCTTAGAGTATTTCATGACAAAATTTATATAAACATCAAGAAATAAGAATTCACCACTTTGCACGATATATTCTTACCTCGATTTGATACAAAATAAATTTGAAAATATGTTTGTAGAATAGTAGTATATATATATCAACTTAGAAAATGAGGTTTATGTTCTAAAAGAAAATTCTAACTTCTATATACGTATATATAATTCACAAAAACGTGACTACAATAACTACTTTCAGTTTCTTTCTTCTTCTTCTTTTTTGATAATCAAATGACTTCTAAGATTCACCATTTAATTCCAAACGTGTTTGTTTAAGAGTTTATGGGTTAATTATATCAATTAATACCAAAATTAAGGGACTTAATTATGTTTAAGTTATAATATCCTTTCCAAATCCAAGTAACCGTACTAAAATCTGTTTCATTCTATTATTTTATTATTATTTACATTTTATTTATTAATAAAATATAAAATCTAGAATACTTTCTTTGTATCAACATAATTTGGGTATAACTAGCGTAAAAATATTTCTTCTTGAGCCAATTTGTGTTATTCAACACGAGCTACAAAATGAGTATAATATCGATATGTTTTTTTTATTAACTTGTAAATACTTAAATATTCGACCTAACTAACTTTCGATAAATTTTAAAAGTGCACGTAAGGAAATAAATTATTTATGCAAATAAGCAGGTTGAATTTACCACTTCAACCTTCGAATTTTTAGTGTGACGAGAAATCTAGACATGGACTATTTCACTACTATATAAAAAGGGCAATGTTATCACTACTGTAGAAAGAACAGTAGATTCTTCCATTTTCACACTGTAGCAATTTTTTTTCATCTCTCGAGCGAAAACGACGCCGTCTACAAACAAAAAAAAAAAAAACCGTGCAGGCTACAGTGATGCACCAACTTGTCCTCAATTTAGGTAGATCTTTCTTTCTTCTTCTCCATTTTCACACGCTACTGCCCATTCTCTCCATTTTACCACGTAAATTAGCCTTAACTCCTTTTTCTCTCTGAGTTTTACTCTTGAGTGAAATAGGATTGTTTGTTATATATTTTGTATAGATTGATTGAGGTCTGGTTGTTCTGAATTTTAGTTCTTATTCTTGTTTTTATTGAAATTTGTGGACGTTCTGCAGCTCAATTTCATTTAAAGGAGCTTGATTGATTTTTTTCTTGCGTTTTGTGTGAATTGGTTTCATTTCGAATTTTTGCTGTTAATGTTTTCTTCTTCTTCTTCTTTTTTTCTTTGGGATATGCAATGGATCCGTATCAAAATATAAAAAAATAAAATGAAATATACGCATATGTAGTTTCTATATAAGTGAATATAAAACAAATATTTTGATGAAACAATGTATCTATTTGCATAATATGTGTGCAAATTTCTTATGAACATTATATTTCAATTAAAGAGTTCCAATGAAGGAATGATATTGTATTGTTTAATTTTAAATATTTGGGAATCATTGAAACGTGGATGGAATAAGTTGGTAAATAAGAGAGTAAATAGAACTGAGTGTAGAAATAGTAGAATAGATTAACACGAGTTGTAGAAATGGACAATATGTTACCGAAAAAGCCTAATCTTACTCTTCCCAAAAATAAAAGTGAGGAGAAAAAAATTATTGAACTATCGACGTGAGCGACTATTTGATCTAACACGTTTCACACATTATTTGATTGCACTCAAAAGGTTACGATTGAAAATGTGATTAATATGTCTATCATTTATTTACATTTCTGCTCATTTGAAGGATTTATATAATCTCTGTATATATATAAAAAAAATTTGATTTATATTTTATGTATTTATTTTAGGAATCACGTCTATTAAAAAAATTAAGTTGATTAAATGAAATGAAATTATTGTATTGAGAGCCAGTGAAAAAAAAAAAGAAAGAAAAAGAATGAAACTTGTGCCTCCATAATAACGAAAGCATTTGGTTCAAAAATGTTGAGTCTCTGTAATTACGGAGGCATTTAACTCAAAAATGTTGAGCCTCCATAATAATTATGGAGTCCTCCATAATAGCCTCCGTTATTATGGAGGCCTCCCTAATGACCTCCATTATTATGGAGGCCTCCATAATAACGGAGGCTCATGTTTGAGCCTCCATAATGGCCTCCATAATAATTATGGAGGCTCAAGCACGAGCTTCCGTAATTACGGAGGTTCAAAGAAAGAAAGAGAGAGGAACTCATCCCTAGGCCACGGGATCTTGGGATGCCTACTATTTTAGACTTTTATGTACAATAATACACTTATATCTACTATAATTTGTTGAAGGATATACTACTATGGTGCTAGCTTTTTGTGCTTGGAATGCTTTTACTGTTCAGTGGGGTATTTCTTTGACTAACTATGACTTAAATTCTCATTATTAATGGATTTTATTGATTCTTCAACTTTTGGTAGAAAAATGACATTTTGTGGAAGAAAGATGAGTGATCGACTCATATAACTGGTCAGTTCCTTGCTAATAATTCCATCTTCCCATATATTTTCAAACATATTCAATACATACACTAATCAAACCATAATTTATGCACAGCTCGTGCATCGCACGTGACATAGACTAGTCATTTGTTAAATGATCATTATTAAGTTTAGGTCCATATATAAAATAGTAAGAAAAAATTTGAGGTGTTACATATACAATAGCAAGAGTAGTTTTTCGGTTCTTTTGAATGCTCCAATCTCTTGGCAAAATTTGTTTTGAGTGTGCAGTTATGTTTCGCTATAGAATAGACTCAATCAATTCACATTCTTTTTCAGTGCATATGCTTTATATCTCCAACACACAAGGAAGCTTTGTACCTTATGATTTAGTTCAACCCCGTTTAGTACCTTATGATTTAGTTCAACCCCATTTACACAGAAAAAGGTCAAAGGGAAAGTAGAGGCATCAACACGAAGAATTCTTTAAATTTCCTTTATTTTATTTTATTTTTAACCACTCTATGTGGCTGGTGGCATATTTTGTTAATAAAGAAGATAAAATAGTTCGAACTTAGGAGGGGCTCAACTTGACCAATAGCTAAAGGTGCAAAACAATCATTTTCAGTTTAGAATTATGAAGTATGATATAAGAAATAAAGAAATATATGCCCATGATTGAGCCACATTATAGGGAAAAAAAAATGTATTATTCATATCAAATCAATAGAAAATGTGTGGTTAAAAAATAAGGAAAAATTTTAGATTTACGTGTAATATTATTTTATAAAAGAATGTGTGGTTAAAATGATGTCAAATCACTGTTAAAGAAATTTTTTTTTTTTTTTTGAAAATAATGTGGCTCAAACAAGCCCTATGTAAAAATACTTCAAGATGAACACGAGAACGAGCAACAGAAATGCTCGTGACGTGACTAATTACTTTAGGACTTTTTCCATTAATATTTGGAAATGTTAACAGCTAACTGTATTTAATCTATAGATCTGAAATCACATTCTATGAAAATGATATCCATCTCGTGTAGCAAATAGCATAAATGATTAATGTGGAGTTTTGTTATTGATTGGATTAAGCCAAAGTTGGATATCAAAATAATTTCATCTATAAATTTGATTTAAATATATGAAAAGGACAGTCAATCAAAGTTAATCCCTGTTTGGCTATCAATTTTTAAAATTTATTTTTTCCATAAATTCATTGTCAATTACGCGTTCTCTCAATAAAATAATTTTATACTTAGATGTATAATTTTCCTCATTTTTGTTTTATCACATATTCTTAAAATAATAATAATAATAATAATAATAATAATAATAATAATAATAATAATAATAATAATTTCATTTTCAGAAATCTATTATCAAAAAATCTTTACCAAGTAGAGCGTCACATTCAAACAAATCAAGTGATTAGTACATTATCAGAAGTACCTTGACCGAAACTACCGATAATTCAACAATATGCGAACTATAATGACATGTAAAGTAAAAAAAACAGAATTAACAATTAAAATTTTCAATAAACAACAACTTGTCCCTTCTTTCTATATACATTTGCATCATCAAACAACAACGTGAGAAACAGTGGCAATCCTTAATCCAAGAAAATGACCAACAACTTCAGGCATTAGCACACACAACATAAACTTTAAATTGCAACATGAATGTATACATACACATAAACACACACATAAAATATAACAATAACACTCCAATAATTAATAATTATTTTTATTGGAGCTATTTATTTAAGCCAGCCTCTTGCAGAGAGTGAGGCCATCTCCAATAGAAAGTTGAGCCAATTCAATACGAGAATCAGCTGCTAAAAAAGTATTGAGTTTCATTATATCGCCTCTGCATCCCTTTAAGTATTCAAGCATTTCTTCATCCTCAGATAATGCTACTGTACCAGCCCATAGTGTGTTATCATAAGCTATAATCCCTCCAACTTTTACTAGCTTTAACAGCTGCTCGTGGTAGTTTACGTAGTTTTCCTTATCCGCGTCCACAAATGCAAAATCGAACGTCCCTTCTTCTCCCTGTATATAAAAAGACTTCCTCAATAAGCATGAAGAACCCATTGATCGGTCCAAGTAAAAGAAACCTAATTAATCTGTAATTATTTCTTGGAGTTCGAGTCAACCTTATAAAGGGTAATAATTTAGGAATTAAGCTACTTGTATAGAAAGTTGACAGAAGCTGAGGTGGCATACATTTTAGGCCCTAATTTGGATAAATACATGTTACCTCATCATCTGTCAAACAATCTGTAAACAAAACTGCACAAGTAGCATCTCTCATAGTTTAGAAATTGTGCTGTTGTCTAGTTGTTGTAAATGAGTTGATGAGAGAGAGAGAGTACATTAGCCAAGAACTTGTTCATAACTGTGGTGGCATCAGACTGAATATATTGGATTTTATGGGTCATGTTTGCCTTCTGAATAAATGGCAACCCAGTCTCAAATGCTTCTCTATCTGGATCAATGGCAATAATCTAAAAAAGAAAATATTGATAGTTAATGTTTAATTATTACTTGTTATTCAAGCTTATAATCTAAAATTTGATTACTTTGCCATCATCTGGAAGAGCAAGAGCAGTTGAAAGAAGTGAGTAACCAGTAAACACTCCAACTTCAATTGTTTTCTTTGCATTCATCAGTTTCAATAGCATTGATAGTAATTGGCCTTCATCTGCAGGCACATTCATCAGGCTCCTGAAATTATTAGTAAAATAAATCTGCGAGTTAGCCCTTAAAACATATTTAAAACTCATTTTTTCTCAAATTCATTTTCAACTTATTCTTCTAACAAAATAATTCTACACATAGATAATCATTTTTCGCAAAGTCTATTAAGAAAATCTACATCAAACTAGCTCTTAGCGGCTTAATTTTTATTTTTATTTTTTGCAAAATAATATTCATTATGATATTTTGTTGTTTAAATATTTCTATAACGTACCAATACTGATACTTGTCCACAGTTGCTTTCCTGAGTTCTTTGAGTTGTTCGTTCTCTCTGGGATACGCGCTTGTTTCTAGGAGATACTGCAAGAAAATGTATGTACAAAAATAATTATCAAAAAACACAAACATAAATTCTAATACTTGTCGTCGTCAGAGAGAATTGTGCAGGAAATTAAAACGAACCTTAGAGAGTTGTTCGCTTTGCAGAATAGTGGTCGAAAACTTGTCCTTCATTGTCGAAGATTGCAAGAATTAGAGTACAAACAAGAAAGAAGAAGATGAAAGTGTTTGTTATTTCTTTGTTTGATGAACAAAGCTCAGCGTAAGAGGAATTTATATAGGAAATCTTGAAAGGAAATTCAATTTAAAATGCCACGTCATCACCAATTAACGTAAATAAAAGTGTTCGTTAGTTGTCCGACGACTCTTCCACGAAATTTGCATCCAAAGAATCAATAGTTGTTGTCTTCAATTTCTCCCACCACGTACTTTAATTTCTTTTTATTTATTTTTTTATATTTTTTTTCCAGAAGATTATTTTAATAAGGAAAACTTAATTGAATGATTGAGCTTAATGTATAAACATGACAGCCCAACGCCCCTTACTAGTAATTTAGTACAAGTTTTAGTTTATAAATGTTTGCAGGGATGAAATAAGGTCGATCTATTGTCGATGATTTTAAATCATTTGAAGTATATCGAATGAAAGTTAAAACATTTTTAGATATGCTTAAAAATAGTTTAAGATTTACTTTATTTTTGAAAATTGTGGTTCGTGTTAGAAATGTCAATTAGCGTGGTAACAGAAATGATGAGGATCAAATGAGTGATAAGGATTGTCAAATTCAAACCGAAAAATAAATGCGAAGTTGTTTATTTGTTATTTAATAGTTGTTATTTATTTTTTGGTTAAACACTAACTATAATAATAATGGAAAGTTGTTGAACTTATTTTATTATAAATAGTTAATAAATGTGTGATAGGTGCTCATGGTTTATAGTCATCAATCAATAATATCATAATCAAATATTTTATTTATTTTTCAAGTTCTTTTCATATTTTCTTCTTTTAAATTAGTCAAAATACAATTGCTACCTAAATTATGCATTAATTAATATGTTTTTAGTTGCTTGCACATAATGTTTTAGAAATTTTTTAGTTCCCAAAGACAACGAGTTTCCATCGTGGACCATTTTTCTCTCTTCATTATAGTAATTTTTTATAAATCCAACTCATCAACTCCTAACACCCGCAACCCAACATTAATGAATAAAGCCACTTAACCAAAGTTAAAAATAGGGAAGGAGGAGACATATTGAGATGGTGAAAAATGGTTGGATGTTTTTTGTTTTAATTTTCAATCTATCCAATCGCAGGGGCGATATATGTCGCCTCTGTTTTTAAACCTATTTTTCACCTTAAATGTGTAGCACATATATATATGTGTGTGTGTGTGTGTGTGTGTGTGTGTGCGTGTGTGTGAAGAAGTTGGATGAAATGACCCGAGGCAAGTGAAAACACTCTTTTCTCAAGACAAATTTGCCTTGTAACGGTGTTAATAGAGTAACGGCAATTGTTTTCCAAGATATAACGAATTACTTCCTTACAGTAGAAGCACTTCAAACTATAAGGCAACAACGAACTTGAACGGATTATTCTTTCTAGAATAGGAGATTTTGAATGCAAAGTTTGGGAAAGTTTTTGGCAAGAATTTTTAATGCAAAACTTAAGAATATGAATTGGATGTATAATGAACGTTCAAAGGATTTTATTTATAAAAGATGAGAGATTGTGAATAAAGTGACTCGCCTCAAATTCAGCAATCTTCATGAAGGGAAGTATCCATTGCTGTCGCTATCCTCTTGCTCGAGCGCCAATGACATATTTTTATAGAAACTTTTTGTCCACCAATCGCTTGCCTATAGCACAATCAATAGTCTAATCTCTTGAACTCTAGGCGGATGATGGAGTTAGGTAAATTTTTCGGCCAATTTTTTCCTCTTTTCTTTCCAAATTTTGACATCAAATTTTCATTTATCCAGAATTGGTTTTGAGATTCAAATATACCATGCTGATCTACTTAACGAGTAGAACAAGTTAATCGATTTATATTTATAATTTGATTATCGAATCAAGTCCGAATATTTGACCAAAATTGACACAAAGTCACTTTTCATGTTTTATACTTAAACCAATTTTTTTGACCTTTAAACCAAATTCCAACAGTCCCCCACATGAATGGAAATTCAAATATGTTCATGCTATGCAAAAGTATGATATAGTATAGAGAGAAAGAGCATAAAAACACTGCATTATGTAAGGTAGCTTCCGGCCTTGAATATTCATTAGTGAAATACTATTGAATTTTCTTGGTTAATTAGTGAACATGATTTCATCTACTGGTGTAAATCAAGAAAATAATACTCACATAGATGTCTTTCCTAAATCATTCATGATTCTCATGACTTTGTCCATTTTGGCTCTGAACAGCTCGTGGGTTTCATAAGTGTTTTAAAAATTTCAGCCTCTAAAATTTTCATTTAAGGGATCTTACTTTACATTCATATAGGTGACCTCCTATTAAGAATATTATGCCCACTCCACTTGACTTAGTCAAGGCATAGGAATCATTAAACGAGAGAGAGAGAGAGAGAGAGAGAGAGAAAGACCACAATTTCTGGCGATGAAACAATTCTGGCCGGGTTCGATCTGTGGAACCATAGAAGGAATTCAATCACTGCTAATTGGTATCTTTATTTATGCATCAATGACGCTACATATTTTATCCTTTAAAATTCGATAAAAAGCACTTTAATTATCACAGGAATGAGTTGCCAAGTATTTCCTTAAGTGCTTCATTGAATCTTTATAACTTAATTGTCCTTTTGAACCAAAATCTTGGAATCTCCAATCTACAAGGTAGAGTTATCATTACAAAGATTCTTATATAGTATACTTTAATCACATTCCTTTCGATGTGCAACGTACTTGATCTCCTGATGGACCTTTCGTAAGTGGATCTAATATGTTCTATTTTAATTTCACATAATATATGGAGATGATATCATTTGAGATCAGTTGGTTAACAATATTGTGTCTACGACGTATATGTCTACACTTACCATTATCTCTACTCCCTTCCAATAGCAGATTAATTATCACAATGTATACTTAGTGTAGGTATCGGCTTAGGCCAACACGAAATATTTCTAAGAAGTCACAAAGCCATTCCACTTCATCTCCAACTTTGTCTAAATCAATAAACTCTGATTCCATCATTGATTGAGTTATACACGTTTGCTTTGTAGAATTTCATGATACAGCAGCTCCACCAATGGTAAATACATAACCACTAGTAGACTTAGAATCTTTCATGTCAGATATCTTAATCATTTCACAATATCCTTCTAATATTGCAAGATATTTTTTGAAGTATAATCTATAGGTTAAAGTATATTTCAAGTACCTAAGAACCCTTAAAGCCTTCCAATGATAATGACCTGGATTACTTGTGAATCTATTAAGTTTATTCACAACAAATACTATGTCCGGCCGAGTACAGTTTGTAATACACATTAGACTGCCAATAACTTGTGAATACTTTATTTGTGATACACATTTACCCATATTTTTGACTAAGTGTAAACTCGTGTTAATATGAATTTTTGCAGGACTTTCTTCAAGTGCATTTTACATTTTAAGAATACTTTCAATGTAGTGAGATTAAGAAAGTATAGTTTCTTTCGATGTTCTAGAGATCTAAATCCCTAATCTCACATCAGTCATACCCAAGTCTTTCATATCAAATGCTTCGTTAACATACTCTTAGTGTATAGCATTATTTCGTGGCTATTGACAATTATCAAAATGTCGTCTACATATTGGCATATAATCACATAGACTTTCGATGTATACTTTATGTATATACATTTGTCACACTCATTTATCTTAAATCTATTATACAACATCGTTTTATCAAACTTTTGGTATCATTATTTAGGAGCTTATTTTAATCCATACAAAGACTTAACTAATTTACAAACCTTTCGCTTGTGATTAGGAGAGACAAATCATTCGAGTTGTTCTTATATATCTCCTCTTCTAACGCACCAATTAGGAATGCCGTCATTACATCTATTTGATGAATCTCAATGTTATGTAATGTGGCAATAGCGATTAACAATATTGTCGAAGTGAGTCTACTTACAGGTAAATAGATATCAAAGAAGTCAATTTTTTCCTTTTATCTAATCTTTTGGCAACTAATCTAGCCTTTTATTTGTTAATGGAACCATCCGATTTTGGTTTCTTTTTGAAAATCCATTTACATCTTAAAGATTTGTTTCTAGGAGGTAAATCAACTAACTCCCAAGTATAGTTTTGCATTATAGAATCTATCTCACTATTGATAGCTTCTTTCCAATGCGATATTTTCGGTGTAGAAATTGTTTCATCAAAAGTCTTTGGGTCGTTTTCTATCATATAGGTTAGAAAAATTGGGCCAAACGAAGTAGATATTCTAGTAATTTTACTATGCCTTGGTTCTTTTTTATTTGAAGTACCACTTGTAGTTTCATATATTTTTTTATTGAACTTTCCTTTTCCTTGTCTTTATATGGAAAAACATTCTTGAAGAATGATACATTTCTTGATTCAACTATGGTTGATTCATGTAATCTTGAATTTCAGATTTAAGTACAAGGAAACGTCTTGGGGATGTATCTAATAAATATGGCGCATCCAACTATGGTTCCATTTTCAAGCCATAGTTTGAAAAACTATTATTATTGGCGTATTCAATAAATATGCAATCAATCTTCAAGGGACTGATTTTCACTTGTTTAGGCTTTGGTATTTCAACCTTAGCCAACACCCACACACTTTCAAGTGTTGGTAGGAAGGAAGATGATATTTTCACAATTCATATGGAGTTTCTTCCATTTTCTTCAACTTGTTAAGAATGCTATTTGCTGATAGAATAACATTCCCTCACAAGTTTTAGGGTAGACCCAAACTCATCAACATTGAATTCAGCATCTTTTTAATAGTTCAGTATTTGCGTTTAGCAACACCATTCAATTGAGGTAGTGAGGTGCCGTTGCTTGATAAATAATTCCATTCTCGAAACAATATTCTTTAAACGGTGCATCGTATTTACCACCTCTATCACTATGAATATTCTATATTCGTTTACCGAGTCGATTCTCAACTTTCGTCTTATAAAGCTTCATTTTTACTTCTTAGCAGATATACATAGCAATACTTTGTAGCAGATATACATAACAATACTTTGTACAATTATCAATAAAAGTAATAAAGTATCCCTTTCCACCTTTAGAGTGACCAAATTTTAAGTTACAAATATCGCTATGAATTAGAATTAAAAGTGTTGTTTTCCTTTGAACCAAATGAAAACAGGTGTTTTGGCCAATTTTGTCTCGACAAAAATTTCACATTTATAATTAGGATCAAATTTCATTATTGGAATTAAACTTTGATTCATAAGTTTAGGGACAGATTTGTAACTTATATGTCTTAATTGATTATGTCATAAACAAGACAATTCAAGTATATAAGTAGAATTCAAGGTTTTATTCATAATGCTTTGTTTCAATATAATTGTAAGAACGTTCATTTTGAGCATTCCATCCCATAGGTATCATTTACCAACATGCATCTCATTTTTAGTGAGTACAAATTTATCGAATACAAATATAAGTTTAAAGTCATTTTTGTAAAGCAGCGACCCGGATACAATATTCTTGAGAATGTTGAGGACGTGATCTTTACCAGATGTCATCTTCAAAGCAACTTTCCCTTATCATTCAACCTTTGAATTTGCAGAATTTTTCATGAAGAGTTGTTCTCCATTTAATTCTTTGTAGTTTGAGAACATGGTCTTGTCTGCACAAACGTCAGACCCACTATTTCCTTGAATTTTCAACATTGTTACATTCAGAAACGGTTGTAGGACGATTTGACTCTTGCTTGTGCATTCTTCTTAAGCTTTTGACTTTCACTAGAATGATGTCCCTTTTTTCCAAAATTGTAGTACTTGCCTTTGAAGTTCTTGACATTCTTAGACTTGTCTCTTTTTGGTGCATCACTAGAGACTTTACGCTTTTCGTTGACCCTCGAATTGAATTTCACAAAGTTTGCTCTACATGTTGAACAATAGACTTCCTTTCAATCTTTCTATTGTCTTTTTCAATCCTTAATCGAACTATCAATTCCTCTGAGTTCATTTCTTTGCTTTTATGCTTGAGATAATTTTTGAAATCTCTCCATAAAGATGAGAATTTCTCAATGATAGCAACAATTTGGAAGGATTCACTCAACTCCATTTTTTCAGCATGAATGTCATGATGTAGAACTTGTAGTTCTTGCACTTGACTAATGACGATTTTGGAGTCTATCATCTTGTAATCAAGGAACTTTCCAGCTATAAATTTCTTTGTGCCATCATCTTCCGTTTTGTATTTTTTTTCTCCATAGAATCTCAAAGTTCCTTGGCTAACTTCATGGCACTATGTACTCCATAAAGTGTATTGTCCAATCTATTCATGATGAAGTTTTTTCAAAGAAAATTCGAGTGCTTCCATGCATCTAATGCAATGATCGACTCAAGATTATTTTTCCCTTTTTGTATTGTTGGAGGGTTTTCGGTCAAGAACTTTGCCAAGTTCAAAGTACTGAGATAGAATAATATTTCTTGAAGTTCATTCCTCCAAATTTTTTCAATGTTCCCCATGTGGGACTTTGATGTGGTATAGCCAAAGGCAGAATCATACTGTTTGTTCCATTTGTTGTTTGACTTGAAGTGGTCTGAACGGTATTCATTTCTTTTATGCAAACAGAATTTTAACACAAACAAAATTTAAGAACAGAATAACACAAATGTCTATTCCAAAGATGAAGAGAACGGAGGGATCCAGCAAACAACGAACAAAAAAATTGTCTTAAGATAGTTTGGGGATATAGTAAAGTTTGTTTTGAATGTGAATAACAAAAGTAACACCGCAGAAACAAAGTTAAACAAATTAACAAATTGATAGAAACCAAAAATAGAAATGAACAATAAGACGAATGAAATGATTCGAGGCAAGTGAAAATACTATATCCTATTTGCCCCGCAACAGTGCTAACGGAGTAACAATAATTGTCTCCCAAAATACACAGATTACTTCCTTATATTAGAAGTACTTTAAACTATAAGGTAACAGTGAACTTGAACAGACTATTCTCTCTACAAAAAAAGATTTCGAATACAAAGTTTGGGAGAGTTTTTGACAAGAATTTTTAATGCTCTTATTTATAGAAGATGAGAGAGATTGTGAGTAAAGTGACACGCCCCGAACTCAGCAACATTCACGAAGGGAAGCATCCCTTGCTGTCGCTGGGCTTTCAGTCGAGCTCCAATGTCACATTTTTTTACAGAAACTTTTTGCCAGCCTGTAGTTCGAGCGACAATCTCATCATTCGAGCGCTAGGCAAGCGACATAGTTAGACAAATTTCCCTACCAAATTTTTCTTCGTTTTCTTTCCAACTTGGACTGCAATTTCTCATTTATTCGGCATCGGTTTTGATATTCCAAATTTATAACGACGATATACTCTACAAGTAGAACAAGTTAGTCTATTTACATTTATAATTTAACTATCGGATCAAGTCCGAATATTTGGTCAAAATTGACACAAAATTACTTTTTTGTTTTATACTTAACTACAATTTTTAATCTTTAAACCAAATTTCAATAGTTGATTTATCAAATTCATATCATTGTACTTGCTTACTTCAGCCTTTGACAGCTCGTCCCCCTTCCTATGTGTTTCCCAACGACCCAGTGACACACCAACCGTGACCTATATAATGTAATTGATTGATTCTTCCAAGATGGTTGGTTAGAACTTGATACATAATGTATTTGGATATAAAGTCAGCTTATTTTCATAAGTGGAGAAAGTCAAAATTCGTTAATCAAACTAATATAAAAGCATTATACATAGGTTTATATAAGAGGAAAGATTCTCATTTTACGAATAAATTATTTTTTGAATGATAAAAAAAAAAAAAAAAAAAAATATATATATAATAATAAAAGGCCACACGCGCGCGTCACCGTCGCCGTCCGTCCGACCGGCCGGGCGGTTGGGTCTGGTCGGGTCGTGGGTGTGGGCCTATGTTAATATTAATTTAAAATTTTCTTTTTTTAAAAAAATTTTTTTTTTAAAAAAAAAAAAAAAAAAAAAAAAAAATATATATATATATATATATATATATATATTGAATACCTAAGTAAAGAAAGTCAAGATTGATTATTTAGTGTAACTTGACGTGGACTTAAGTCAACTTAGGCTTTTCATGATAAACAAAAGAAGGCGAATATCCGTTACAATTTTTACAGCTATGATGTCTTTTGACATTAAAATTCTACGAATAGATTAGCCATTTGGAAAATCCTTTTTTTTTAAATATTTATTATAAATTAAAAATGTATAGAAATAGCGTATATACATACGCATACGTATGTAAACTGTCATAATCTAATATTATACTATGTAATATGTATGCATTGTGCATACATACACATACGTTAATGAGTATTTAAAAATATAAAAATATTAAATAAAAATTACACTTTCAATGATTTGAACGGCCTAACAAAGTGGATCCGAAAATCTGCAATTGGTTGATCTAAATCTCGACATCACAAGAATCGACACCTAAATGGCTTATTATAAAAATTCAAGATGAAATGGATCTAACCCTTTCAGTAAAAATCTACATTTGTTGGTCTCAATTTAAATTGATTGCTATCGTGATTATTTGGTACTGGCTATATTTTTTATTTAAATTTATTTTTTATTGCCGATCTTCACTTGATGAAGGGGCCCACATCAACAAACTGGGCCCTGATACTGTCAATTGGTTGTGTGGATCAAATTAAATAACCTCTTCTTGGGCTTGGACCCGATCCACTAACCTATCTTGGTCCATTTCCCTGTCTCTATCCATAAGTGAGTCCATTTACACTCACTATGTATGTTAATCTAAACCCTAGTCAAATATACTCATCCATTTCTCTTGCATTCATTCTATCTCGTTGCATAGTTGACTTAATCCTCGTAATACAAACGATCACCTAACATTTTTGTGAGATGATGACCTTTGCACCTTATTGGTGTGTTCCAGTGTACAGATGATGCATGGGTGGATAAGGAGATAACCTAGATTCTAGTATCCACTCGATCGAATAGATTCATTTTGAGATCAACATATTTCTTTTCTATCCAAGGTGCAATATCATGTTGCTTCACCTACCAATATGATGCTTACATTACTCTAGCACAATCCCATTCTTAACATTAGTCTATCACGATGTAAAAAAGATTCACAATATATTGTATGTTATATGCATCTTCAAGAACGAATGAACGATAGACAATATATATTACACATCGAATGAACCAGAAATCCAACAAATTAAAGACAACACACAAATTGACTTATACAACTCAACAATAGACATACTGACCAATAAAGTTCAGTTTATTTTACGACAAATAAAAATGATCATATCACACTTTCTGCTTATAAGCTATTTGAGGCGCCTGCAAAGAGTGAGCCCATCTCCAATGGAAAGGTGAGCCAATTCGATACGAGAATCAGCTGCTAAGAAAATGTTCAAGTCTCTGAGGTGCACTCTATTTGCCCCAATGTGTTCAAGGGTTTCTTTGTCCACGGTATCCTCTGACAGTGCCACTGTACCAGCCCACAATGTGTTGTCATAAGCTATAACTCCACCAATTTTCACTAGTTTCAGCAACTCTTCATGGTAGTTTATGTAGTTTTCTTTGTCAGCATCCACAAATGCAAAATCGAAACTCCCTTCTTCTCCCTATAATTTTCATCAAGAATAAGCAGAATTTTCAAGAACTTATCGATTTATATAGGCCCAGTTTAAAGAAACCCTATTTCATATATATGTTGCTACAATGTCGTTGAAGTTCGTTAAAATTATCTCATCTAAAAGCTTTAATCATTAGATAGAGACTTACATTGGACTGAAAGTCCTTAAGAATAGTCATGGCATCCGATTCAATGAACTGAATTTTATGTGCCACTCCTGCCTTTTCAATAAATGGTAATCCTGTCTCATATGCTTCACGATTTGGATCGATTGCGACGATCTAAAAAAAAAGTAAAATAAATATTCTTTATTAGGCTGGTAAATAATTAAACCAAATTAATCTACTTGGATATTGGATATTGGCAAGTAAATTAAATTACTCAGAATTAATCTTTTTTTATTATTATTAGAAAAGAATTAACTTACTTTTGCATCATCTGGGAGAGCAATAGCAGTAGAGAGAAGTGAGTAACCAGTGAATACTCCAACTTCTATTGTTTTCTTTGCATTCATTACTTTCAAAAGCAACGATATAAACTGGCCTTCGTCAGCAGGCACATTCATCACGCTCCTGAAAATGAAATATCTCTACACATTACTAAATCTTGTACAAGTCGTTTACGAAATTATATCGTAGGACTGTTTGGCATGACTTTTGAAACTTCAAAAAGAGCTTTTGAGATTCAAAAGTTTCTTTTGGATCCCTTTAATTAATTTTATATAAGTGTTTATTCTAGGTAGAAATTTTTTTAAAGAAAATTGATCAAATATGATTTATTGAGGAAACCCTTTAGAAATTAAGTTTAAACACGAATTAAGTGACTTTCCATGTAATAGGAATACTATTATCAAGTTTAGCTTATATTGTTTTTCTCTATCTCTTTCAATGTAAACTTAGAGGTAAGGTAATCACTTCCATCCCACTTATATACAATTCGCTTAGCCCGTGTTTGGTTTTACCCAAAAAAATAAAAATAATTATAAGTATATTTTGATAAATGTTGATGAAATGTGTGGTAGAAAAATTGGTAAAGATTGTGATAAATAGTGAAAAATGAAGGCCAAATAGAGAAGATTTTATAGGGAGGATATTTATCATACCAATACTCATACTTGTCAACTGTAGCCGTCCTGAGTTCTTTGAGTTGTTCATGTTCCCTCGGATACGCACTTGTTTCCAGCAGATACTGCAGTAATTTAAACAATATAATATCTTAAGAAAGAAAAAGAAAATCGAATCTTTAGTATAAAAAAAATCAATTATTACTAGACTGGTGAATTTTAAAAATCCTATTTAATCATCAAAATGAAATATTATTTCAAATTGGCTTTTAATTCACCACATTTTAAATAACAATGCTTGACGTATAATGATTTTGATAATATTGTTGACAACACATCACGTTACATGTTATGATTGAACAATTTAAAAAACAATTCATATTTTCAACCAACATCATCAACAATGTTGTACAAAAACTTGTTGCAAATAGATTAATTCCTTGGTAAAGCTTATTAATTGTTTTGCAGTGCTTGGCAATAAAGTTTTTAATAAAAAAAACAACATCTTCTTTTATAGTGCTTATAAGCATGCACGTTGTATTTCTGACAAGTGAAATTCCACGTATACCCCAACCCTACTCCACAGCCCTCCGCCATCTTTCCCCGCCTCCTCCGCCACCATCAACTTCCGCCCAAAAAGCAGAAGAGAAAAAACCCACTACTTATTTAGGAAAAAAGAAGATTTTATCCAAACAAATAATCACTTATTTTCAAATAAACCCTAATGCATGTAAGAATGCATGCAGCATTTCATCAAGTAATGAGAATGAACCTTAGTGAGGGCTTCGCTTTGCAGAATTGTGCTTGAAAACTTTTCCTTCATTGTCGAAAGATAAGTGATTAATCAAAAAGCAAATGTTTAACAATGAACAAGAACAGCTTATTTTGCTAAACTTGCTTGAATTTTCCTAGCTTCTTCTCGTTTATATAGAATTTCTTTGAAGCATTGGCCTCTGCCAGCTATTCTTCATGGGTGGTTGGTGGTTGCTTGCGGTAGTTGCCCTATTTTTCCGCCGTGAAAATCGCATCATATATGCATATTAAAAACACACTCAGACATACATACATTATGTCTTATACATGTATTTTTTCAATATAGATTGAGAAGATCTTGGTCTAGTTTCACTGGTAGATTGCCATTTTTTTAAGAAAAAGTAAACGACGTTCTCCAGAATCTCCAACTGTCTCTTTATTTTTATTTTTATTTTTTATGAAACACGAATTTAAGTTTTTTAACACTTGTAATTTAAGCTCTTATTTTTCTTTTTGCCCTTTTAATATATTTGGTTGACACTAAAAGAGATAGTAATAATAAATAATCACTGTTGATCCAAATCGAATTGTTCATTTTCATCATAAATGATAAGAACATTTTGTTATTGGTAAAGCGATTTTAAGTTCGCATCAAAGATTGAAGAAATGTAAAAAATTGACAGTAAATGTTGACCCCCTTTTGTGTAATGACAGCGTGGCCAACAGATGTCCGGCCCACTCGTATCTTCAAGAGCAAATTTCGGCACGTTTTGATCAGAATAATCAAACGTAAGGTCAATCGGACGTGGGAGATGCTCTACAACAAGATACGAACACATTCAAGCATTGACAATATGATTGAGAACAATTGAAAATGAACAATCACAAACTCTCCCTGAAGCTGAAGATGATTTGAACTCATATCAATGTAGAATGAACAAGAAACAGATTTTTTTTAGATAAATTCAAATGTGAGATCTTACATATACTTTTTCCAATCCCATTACAGGTTACAGAAGTTGTTATTTATAGATCTAGGGCCGATGTGGTCATCGTTGAATCAAAACCACGTGGCCTCATATCCCGGCAACCGAAGCCTCACATCATGTTACATCAATCATTCCTAAAGATATTCTTCAGACTCACCTTAAAGGCGGCAAGTGTTTCGGTTTTGAGAAAGAGAGAGATTCGGATGTGTTGCGGCTCGATCTGAAGAGGGAGTGCTTCGGCCCAAGGGCTTTGGCCGAAGATAGTACTTCAGTCAAAGAGCAGCTTGTTTTCTTTCTTTATTTTTGATCTTATTGACTGCCAGCTGCTCGTATTTAATACTTCCATGTGGCATTAACGTGGCCTTCAGTAAGGGTCTCGGGCATGAGGCATAACAGTAGCCCCCCAAGTCGACGTATGATCATTTATGTAACACATGGAAATTTGTGTTGTATTAGAATGAAAATATTTTGTAGGGGTAGTTACTTTTATCCTACTATAATAGTCCCCTAAGTCCAATTGCAGATATTTATATAAAGATTGCAATTTGAAAATATAAGTTATGAAGAATCATTGGAGGTACTCATCGAGGTTATTTGCTGAAGTTGTATTTGGAGTCTGCTTTACTCTGAAGCTGAAGTAGAGCTGAGGTTCATTTGATTGAGGTTGCTTATTATTACATAACTGAGGCTGCGTCGAAGTTGTATACATTGAACCCGTAGTGTGCTTCGTTAATTTGAACGAAGTAGTAGGCAATGCTGAAGAGATATGCTAGTTCAACTTTTATGAATGCGATTAGTCCTTAATTATCGAGCTGAAATGATTAGTTGTCTCTTGTGTTTCCCGAAAAAGATAACTATAGTAGTTCAACTTTCCACACACGCAACTGTTACCACATTTAATGAGTAATGTAACTGTCGCGGGCATGTCTTTCGTGGTTCAGACATGTTGGAGTGCATGGAAAAGACGTTCTGATCTGGGCCTGGGTGGATCAGACTAAATTTCAAACGAAAGGCTGGATGATTTGGATCAACATCCAACAACTAGATTAAGTACCTCTGCCTATAAAAGGCTATGACTTGGGCAAGTATCACTTTCGCCTTTGCAAATTACCAAATTCAAATTTTCTTCAAAGTTTCCTCTATTTTTCTTGTTTTCCTCAAGTTTCTTTCAAATTTTCTTTTCGCAATTTCCTATCATTTCCCTCTGGTGTCTCTTTGTCTATACTCGAAAGTATTCAAGACTTTTGCACTTGCCTTTATAATGGCAACTTCACCTTTTATGAGAGATTTCGACATAAACCAGGTTGCATCTGTGATGCGAGTTATCCTAAGAAATACATTCGACCTTATCCAAGCCATTAGGGCTGGGTAAAAACCATTACCTCAAAGGGGGTGGAGTTGGTGAGGAGTGGGGGCTGCCAAAAATCTCTTCTATAGTATCTGCATCCCACTTACCACATTTAAGAGAAAAATAATGTATCCCTTACGACATTGAATTCTTAGTCCCCTCTCTTGATGGGTGAGCTTGCTTTCCCAGGTAGGGATATGTTACCATCAGTGAGTATTTTTTAAAGATAGGGTTTCGTCTACCGCTTCATCTTTTCTTTGAGCCATACTTAGGTTGTACTAGTTAGCCCCCACCCAGCTCGTCCCTAATGCTTGGACCTAGTTAGTAGGAACATATTTCTTGTGAAAGGACACCTCCCTTGGTGAGGACATGTCTCTCTAAGTTTTCCAAACCATTTTCCAAGCCAGGGTTTTGGGAAATGGGGATTCTAAGGGTTGGTATTCCTTGTGTCCATGGGGTCGCACTCTCCTTTTGTCATAGGACTTCCTTCCTCCATCGAAGGATAGAAGGAGACATGGTTTTGGGTGAGGGAATAGTGATAGGTATGTGAGGATGACATTGTTTCTCATGTGACAATTCCTACCTCGTACTTAGAAGCTAGTGAATATAGTTCCTTTAATAGATTTTGACTTGATTTAACTATCTTTGATCGTGATTCTGACCCTCTTCCGTATTTTGTAGGATCGGTTGATCGTTTTGAGCTCAATAAAGCTAACCTTGAGGTTGTTGAGGACATCTACCTACGTCCTTTATCATCAAGGAAGTTCAAAAGGTTGATTGTCGATCGACGGTTCTTCGAAGAATTTTGTTTGATGGCTCGAAAAGGTAATTACACTATCAAAATTTTGTGTCAATTGGTTTGTATAATTTCTAACCTTCATTTATCATTTTGTAGAAAATTTTCAGAAGAAGAGGCACCCCACCTTAGATATGGCCACCATCTTTGCTATCACCTCTACTGTCGGGAAGAAGGGGTTGAAGCCCTCGTCTGTCACAGTAAAGCAGGTGAGAGACCAAATTGAAAAGGTTAGAAAAGAGGTTGGCTATGAAGAAGATGGGCGACCTCACGTGAAGGATAAGTAAAAAAATAAGGTGGAGAAGGTCCTCTAAAAGAAATTCTTTGCCACTGGAGATGATGGGTCATGGCTAGCCCACCGCCTCACTCAGAAGTCCTTGCTGGGGAGAAATTAATGACGACCTATATTGTTGCGACCAAGGAGGCTCATAAGAGGCCAATTGTTGTGGAGCCGCTAAGGCAAGATTCTTCCAAGAGGGCAACGACATCAATTGGTCCACTGCATTAGATGCAAGTTCTCATCCTAAGCTATCTGTTTCCCAAATGATTGATGAGCTAACTCCAGAGGTTCTGTCGATCCTTCCTTTGGAGGTTCAAATTGCAACATCAACATTTCACAAATTCTGAACAGACCGTTGGCAGACCTTCATGGAAACCAGCAATTTGGTGAGCATCTTCACGACGATGGTGAGCCAAACAGGCAAAGCATTTGGTATTGTCATAAAGGCGGAGGCCCTCTTTAAAAATCTTCAAAACAAAATTAAAGATTTCCCTAATAAGGTCTCCTAGGCCAAGGAAGTAGCCAAAAAGGCCAAAGCTGATGTGGAGGTTTTGAAGAAGCAAAAAGCTGAAGAGTTCGTGAAGCTCATTTCTGCATTGGTGAAAATTGTAGATTTGAAAAAGGAGGTTCACTTGTCGAACAATGAGATGGCCTCTCTAACAAAATGAGTGGAGACTTCTGACACACTAGAAGCTGGCTGGTGAGGACTTGGGGTGGCCAATAAAGAAAATGCTGCTTTGAAATAGTAGGTAGGGAGTTGAACTCCAGGATATCGGCCTAACTAAGGATGTGGAGATGGGGGGAGAAAAGCTGAATTTGTAGGCAGTGGAATTAAGAAGCGTTACATTGCCAACTTCCACATCATTTAAGCATACCAAAGTTTTGCTAAACAATGGCGGAGGTATGTCTACACTGAGGTGGTAGAGTGGATAGAAGTAAATTCTTAGACATTCAACTCGTCTGATTTAAGGTCTGAGTTCTTAGAGGAGAGAGATGAGTCTCCAACTCTGACGAAGGATAGCCACATGATTGAAATCGAAGATGAAGCAGCGAAGAAGTAGTTGAAGTGGTTCCCGATGTTATTATACCATTTGTGCCTTCCCCTCTCCCACCTCTATAGTAATAGGTCATTGTAATATTTTTCCTTTTTGCATTTTATAAATGGCCTACAAGCCCACCTTTATAATATTTTTCCTCAATGAATGAAAAATATTTTTGTTAGTTTCTATCTTCTATGTAATTTTATTTTTGATTTCGTTGCTTTGTAGCATTTTATTTTATCAATTGGGATTTGCTACATTCATTATGGATGAATGTATTGCATTTGTGGCACTTCACTTTGTCATTCAAGACTTGTTTTACTCCCCATTCATACAAGTGTTAGTAGTTTATACCTTTCATTTATTTTCTTGAGCACGGGGTTGGGCGGTTTGCCCACGTCGAAGCCTTCTTGACTTTAGTTAATGACCATTTTAGGACCCACATTTTGGGCTTCTTTAAATACTTTTATTAGTTAGGAAGTGGTCCACATTAGGATCCACCTCATTGTTGAGGTGCCACCTTTTCCACATAGGGACTGTTATTCTTTGTAAAGGCTTCTCTTTTAACTTTAATTAACTTGAGGAAATTTTCCAGTACAATAGAGATTTTTAATATGGAACTTTTCATTTAATTTAAACAAATTGTATATAAAATTCATATACATTTTCACTGGTAGTACTTCCGTAGATACACTA